TAATTCGGACGCTGCTACATATGTAGTGGTACCAATACTAACGCTACGGTTGCTTCTGACACGGGTGCTCATACTACTACGACGACGACTACTACTACCACCAGTAGAATACGACTACTGACCAGAAGCTTTCAATTACAATAAGACGTGCCTTCACCTTATACTCATGCTCATACAACTTCGAATGATATTACTGATGTTAGCGTTGATGCTGCGGCTACAGCTGTTACTGCTAGTATTAATGCACGCGCTGATGATAAGTCACCTTGATACACTACGTTTCTAACAGACACGTACTGTACTCCAATTTCTTTCCCCGTACCCGTGCCCAAACTACTACAACTATGACTCCAAATCTCGCACTACTGCTTTTGCTGCTAAGTCCGAACGCAAGTCTAGCACGACTACTCATGTTTTACTAATGCTCACACGAGTGCTCACTGTGATATGTGCATATTTACAGCTTGTACTACTAGTTCTACGGTTGCGAATGCAAGCGCTCATGCGACCATTAAAACAGATACTGGGTACTGACATAGGGCTAGCGATAGAGGGACTCACCAAGAGACAACGGGGAACACGGGGATGCAACGGGAAACAACCGGCGCCCGACGCCGACCGATTCCAAGTCCGTGTCCGCCCGTACTCGGGTTCTTAACAACATTGTACAGAATCCTCACAGACAAGCATTGTAGAGAAACTTCCAGACGCTGGCGGGACCTGGGGGAGCTTGTCCTTCTTACGTCGGGGAGGACAAGGCCCAAAGATGGGCAGGAGGAGGCCAGCTCACCCGCAAGGGAAGGCGAAGCAGCAGCAACGGCTGCGATGACCAGGACGTAGGCTGAATGGTCAACAAGACAACCGCTTGCAAAGGAGCGAGGAGGATGGGGGGAGGAGGAAGGGAATATGAGGAGAGAGGTACGGATGATGAGGACGGAAAGGAGGAGGACGACGAGGAGAAGGATGAGAAGGAAGAGGAGGAGGATGAGGAGGAGGAGGAGGAGGAGGAGGAGGAGGGGGAGGGGGAGGAGGATGAGGCGGAGGATAGAAGAAAATAGGAGGAGGAAGAGGAGGTGAGCGGAAGAGGACGGAAGGAATGGGAAGAATATCGATCCCCCAAACACCTCCATGGCCGTCCGTGTAGAATCCACGTCGGACCCGCGCTGGGTACAAGAAGTGACCATCATTAGCAGAACAGACAAGGTCCCCCGATGATGAAACGTAGCCGTCGTTGGCGTGATGGCAACAGGGCGCTTCCCAGGACCAACTTTTCATCCCGAATCGCTATTTGGTACAGGCCCCGCGAAACCTGAGAGCGGCGACAAAACCTGCACGACCCCCTTCCCTTCGCGTGACCTTCAACAATCAGCGTCTGGGTCGGGGCTCCGGGGGGGCAGGGCTGTGCGGCCGGCCACCTTGTCCTTCAGCGTCTTGACCGCCTTCTCCGCCTCGTCCACGAGCGACTCCAGCTCCTTGGGCTCCGTGGGGGGCACCGGCGGACAAATGCGGCCATGACTGCTGCTCCGATGCTGTCTGCCGGCCTGGCCCCAGCAAAATCGCGATCGGCCTCGAGCTTAGTGGTTGTTGGAGCCGGGAAGGCATCTTTTCACCGTTCGGAAAGACTTGGTCTTCAGAATGGCAATGGTAAAAACAACGGTTTGCCGAAACAGGAAAACAAACGGCTCCCAGATTGAAGCTGGGGCTGGCAGTGAAAAACAAATGCTGCTCTGAGCTATCCCCACCGAACCCTTCGGCGATTCTTCCCGAGTCTGGTGCTGCTGGTTTTTGTGACCAACCAGACCTCGGCGCGCATGCCGCGGAAGCATTATTCGGTCGCTGCTGCAGTATACTCTATCGCGTTTCTGTTCGATGATGTTCTGTTCAATGCACATACAATTCAGTGATGCTCTTCTGCTCGCGACGGGCCAGCGTGACGTCTAATCGCTCATTGCTGCGCTTGGAAAATCCAGTGGCCATCCTTGCGTCGGCGTGGATGCTACCTTTGACAAAGCGCAATTCATATATCGCTGCTGTTTGTCACATTATTCAACAATGCAATACACATCAACGTCTAGTACGTTAACCTGTATTATGTTCGATTGAACTCTCGACGGACCAACGTGACGTCGTGACGCCTGTCACGGAATATGCGTCGTGCAATCGTTCGTTGCTGCGCCTGTTTGTTCCTGTGGCCAACCTGACCTCGTCGCGCACGTCGCGCTTGATTATAATATAATGCTGATGTTCGCTTGATGATGCGCCGTGAACAGGTGGCTGCTTTACCATATACTGTGCTATTTTATGTTCGCTTGGATCCTGTTCCATTGTAGTAACTGGCATATGCTATGTTATGCTTTGTTCTGGAATTGGCGTAACGTCGTGACGCCTATCACGTTTGACATGTCGTATAATCGGTCCTGTGGGCTATTTGTTGTTCCTGGGGCCACCGTGGGTTCGGCGCGCATGTCGCACTTGATAACACGGCATTGCTCGGTCCCTGCTGTATTCTATTCTGCGACGTTCTGTTCGGTTCTGTTCAGTTCCCGCGCATCTGGTGTGTTCTGTTCTGCTCTCGACGGGGCGGCGCGACGTCGTGACGCCTGTCACGTTTGCTATGTCGTCTAATCGATCCTTGCTGTGCTTGCCTTCGTCCTGCGGCCAGCCTTGTGTCGACGTGGATGCCGCGTGTGACAGGGCGCAATTAATCTGTCGTTGCTGTCCTTAACAATGCTCAGCTGCGCTACGTTCCAGCATGTTCTAATAAACAATACTGCGTTATGCTGTGATATGTTCTCGACCGGCTGGCGTGGCGTCGTGACGCCTGTCACGGAATATGCGTCGTCCGATCGGTCGTTGCTGTGGCCAACCCTACCTCGGCGCGCACGTCGCGCTTGACGATATTAGGGTACGGTCTATTACGTTGTGATGTCTCCCTTCAGCGGTGATTCGCTCTATTATGTCAGAGTGCACTATGTCAGAGTGCACTATGTTATGCTCCAGTATGTCCGATTGCATGATGTCATAATGCAATGATGTGTTGTAGCATGCGGCTTACGCTAAACTATGTTCATTAGGTTATGTTACGCCCAGCTCATGTTATGTCATACCTACCCAATGATGACGCAGTCAATGCTGTTACATAACATTAGTTGTCGTAGTAGTATCATTCGTATAGCAATTATGCTGTGGTATGGTGGTTACGTTGCGCGTTGCTCATTACATTATGCAATGCTATACTGAGTCATGTAATGCCTCTTCAAACGGTGCACGTGCTGTGCTTTCGATTACGTTCCTTGCCTTCGTGGTGGCACTATTACAACAAATATGATATGCCATGCTCGGATGTGCTATGCTATGCTCCGTTAGGCTCCGTTCCGCTATGCACTGCTTTGCAAAGTCACGCTGTGCTCGATGCGTTGTCATATACGCGGTTCTGTCATACAGTGTCATGGTATGACTTGCCATGCTGTCATATGTCCTGCTATATTTTGTCTGTCATGCCGCATCGTCTTATGTTATGCCCTGCTCTGTGACGTTGTTTTATGTGATGGTCTGATATGGCATGCTATGCTATGTTATGTCATGCTAGACATTGCAATGTTGTTTCGCGATGTGTTATGTTATGTTATGTATGCTCCGCTCTGTCATATCATGCTTTGTGATGATATGTTATGTCCAGGTCTGTGATGCTGTCGTCTGTTATGCACTGCTCTGTCATGGTATGCTCAATCTTCTGCTCTGTTCTGTTCTGCCCTGCCGTGTGCTCTTAGTTATGTCCTACCATGCTCACAGGGGCGGGAATCTCGGCGACGCTCGGCAGACCTGGGGATCTAGCGGCCGCGGTATGCACTGTGGGCGAGTCGGGTCTGGAAGGGCGGGACTCCCGGGGCCCATCGGTGGACCCGGGGACCTGGCGGCCACAGTACTGCAGGGTGGGCGGGTCGGGCGCCCCAAATGGTTCCTCAATTCTCGCGACCCCTGCCTGTCTAACCTCATGCCCGTGAGAACAAACACTAGGGGATAATAAAGTTCGGGGTTCAGGGAGAGATAATAAAAGTAGCCCAGCAGACCTCAGCATAATCTCGAAGTAAGAGATGATCAAGAGGAGACCAAGCCGAGCACGTTTTGAGACATCCTTGGCGTTTAGTTTTCATAGAAATATCCTCAACAATGGCTTATCTCTCATGAAAATTGTTTTTTGTAAGTGCTCGTGTAGGGTAGCTCATGTGCCTCAATTTCCATGGATAATCAACCCCAGAGATAAAAAAAGTTCAGGCGAGCGTGGGGACAGAGAGAAATATAAAAGAAGAAGAATACAGTAGAAGAATAATAAGAAAGAAGAAGAAGAGGATAATAAGAAGAGGACGAAGAAAGGAAAAATCCAAAGTTCCAAATCTATCAATTTTAATTTACAGACGCTTTATGAAAATTGTTTTTTTTAAGTGCTCGTGTAGGGTAGCTCATGTGTTTCATTTTCAATTGATAATCAACCCCAGGGATAAAAAAGTTCAGGCGAGCGTGAGGACAGATAGAAATATAAAAGAAGAAGAGGAAAGTATGATAATAATAAGAACATTGCTCGTTTCGTTTGAGTCTGCCTCCCAAAATTATTGGTTTCGCTTGACACATCCTGAAAAAGTGTGATCGCTTCGCTTGATGTTGCTATATCAACATCGCTTGATGTTGCTATCTCAACATAGCGGTTCGAGGTGATAATGAAATTCGGCCTCAGCGCTCGCTGCCCAATTTGAATTTTGTATAGGGCGACGATAATCAACTCTAAACACTGAAGGGGGGGGGTCCCTTTATTATCATCGGCATGCGGTTAGTGGGGAGAATGCGGCGACGGAGCCGGAGAACCAGCGGCGCCGGAACCGGCGAACGAAGCGAACGGCGAAAGGAAAACGGCCCCTTCCTCCTCCTCCTCCTCCTCCTCCTCCTCCTCCTCCTCCTCCTCCTCCTCCTCTCCTCCTCTCCTCTCCTCCTCCTCCTCCTCCTCCTCCTCCTCCTCCTCCCTCCTCCTCCTCCTCCTCCTCTCCTCCTCCTCCTCCTCCTCCTCCTCCTCCCTCCTCCTCCTCCTCCTCCTCCTCCTCCTCCCTCCTCCTCCTCCTCCCTCCTCCTCCTCCTCCTCCTCATATCCCAGCCCCGCCCCGAGGCCCCTGGGAACCGAGCGCGGCCAGGAGCCTCCCGCCGTGAGCTGTTCCTGCGCGGCGCGAGGGGGAGCGGCCCGCGGGCGGTCGGGCGGGGGAGCGCGCCAGGGGGCGGCCGGGGGGGGCGATCGTCCTTCAGGAGCTCCTCGGCAAACTTCCTGGCCTCCTCTCGCAGCCTCGCTGCCTTGGCGCGCTCGGGGGGAAGGAGGGGGGGGGAAGGGGGGGGAAGGGGGGGGGGGGGGGGGGGGCAATAGGACACACTGCGACCAACCAGAACAAACTCCAGCGATTTCGGTGCCAGCTCCAACCACTTTGGTACTAATGCCAACCGGCCTAGAAGACAAGCCTCTGCGAGGTGTCTGCGGGCGTCCTGCAGAGCACCTCTGCGAGGCGCCATCCAGGCGTCTTGTGAGCGCCTCTGCAGGCGTCAGGGCGCTTCTGCGAGGCGCTTTGCAGGCGTCTCACAGGCGCCTGTGCGAGGCGTTCTGCAGGCGTCCGACAGGCGCATCTGCGAGGCGTCCTGCAGGCGTCTTGCACGCGCCTCCGCGAAGCGTCTCACTGGGGGCCTCCGCGCTTCCGCAGAAAGCGTCTTGCAGGCGCCCTGCACGCGCCCCCGGGAAGCGGCTTACGTGCGTCCCTGAGGGGCGCCTTGCGTGCGCATTGCAGGCATCTCTGCGAGGAGGGGAGAGGATACTGATGAGAAAGGGGGATGCAGCAGGTGGAGGAGGGGGTGACTAGCAAACGCAACAACATGTTGAGTAAAAGGCATGAGAGAGCAGGGTGGTCACGATCAAGATGAGCACGATGACAGACCCGCCAATCTGGCGTGTGAGTTCTGGCGAGTTTTAGTTCAAGAAGCCGGATGCAAGTTGCAGCTCTGCTGAAGCTACAGCGCGAGCTTCAACTCTACTGGGAGGGTGTGCCAGGGTGGCTCTGCCCGAGGAGGGGAGGGGGGGGGGGGCACTAGATTCCTCCGACGCCGCCCCAAGACAGGCAAAAAGTGGCCCAGGAGGCCGCTAAGACCATTCGCGAGGCCACGAGACGGCCCAAGAGCGTCGAGGACACCCACGACGGCGCCCGAGGCCCCCTAAGGCGCTTCAGGAGGGCCCTACGAGGACCCTCCAGAAGGCCCCAAGAGGCCCACATCGGCCGGCTTCCTTGGGACTGTGGTGCGACTTTGGCCACATCGTCTGTTCGGTCTTAGGAGCGCCCAAGACGGTCCAAGACGCCTTCAGTACCGCCCCTGGACAGCCCAAGAGGCCCCCCAAGAGGGCCCCAAGATGGCCCAAGAGGGCCCCAAGATAGCCAAGGAGCCCCCACAGACTACCCAAAGAGGACACCAAGACGGCCACAAGAGGGGTCTAAGATGAGAAATCGAACTGACCCTTCGAGCCAGCCCTGCACCCCAAGATGGGCCCCAAACTCCCCAAGAGGCTCCTGAGGCGCCCCAATGAGGCCCCAATGAGGCCTCCAAGAGGCCCCCAGGAAGGCCCCTAGAGGACCCCAGAGGTCCCAAGAGGCCTCCAATAAGCCCCCTGAATGCCACCAAGAGGCCCCCCGAGGCGCCGCTTCGCGCGCTGCCAGGCCAGAAGTGCATGGTCAGACTTTGTATGACTCGGAAGCGAGTGCGCTGAACTAAGAACAAGCGAAGAGCTCCGAAGAACTCAAATCTCAAACCTCTCCGCTCCTCGCTACGCGGTGGCGGCCCGGATCGGCGGCGCAGGCCGGAGGCCATTCAAAGAAGCGGGAGGAGAGGAAGATGAAGAAGATGAGCAGGAACCACATATCATAATCAACAAGGGCCATAAGACCATAAGGGAAAATAGTGAGCAGGGCAAGAAAGGAACAGGAAGGAGTAGGAGTAGGCGTAGGCGTAGGAGTAGCAGTAGGAATAGGAGGAAAAGGAGGCGGAGGAGGAAAGGGAGGAGGAGGAGGAGGAGGAGGAGGAGGGGGAGAAGGATGTGGGAGAAGAAGGACGATGAGGAGGATGAGGCGGATGAGGACGAGGAAGAGGAGAACGTGTCGGAGGAGGCAGAAAAAGACAACAGTCAATGAAACGGGAGGTGGGGGGAGCCGGAGGCAGGAGCCAGGGACCGACTCCCCATCACAGCGCTCACAGGAAGAAAGGTAAACGGGGAACGAATCAAGAACGAAGCCCCGTGGGCGGGAGACTTGGCTGAGGTATCTGCAGCCGCTGCCGAACATGCAGCACGCGCCGACGAGCGAGCCAACTCGGCGCAGATTTAAGAGGGAAGAGTCTCCAAAGTCAAGCAGCAAATTCTCTGATTCCTCCTCACAATGCTCCTCGTTTCCCCGGCGCTTCCCCCCCGCTCCTCACTCCTCCACCTTTCGCCCCCTATCCACTTCCTCCTGCTCCTCCTGCTCGTGCTCCTCCTCCTCCTTCTCCTCCTCCTCCCCCTCCGTATCCTCGTCCTCGTCCTCCCATTCCTTCTCCTCATCCTCCTCCGCCTTCTCCTCCTCCCCTTCACTCTTTCGCCGCCTCCCTCTCCTCCTGCTCCTCCGTCGGCGACGGTGGCGGTGACGACGACGACGACGACGGCGACGAGCCGCAGGAAGGCGCCTCCGCGAGCTTCTCCTGGGCCTCCCGCTTCACCGCAGCCACCTTCTCCACCCGGTCGATCGCCATCTGCAAACCCTTCTGGGACTCTTCCTGGGATCGGCACGCCCGAAAGGGGTACGGACCAAAATGGGTTCGATGCCCAACAGCAAATGTCGTCAAACACTGGCAACGGCTTCTGTTGGGCAGGCGGCCGTTTCTCTCAAAGGAACACTGCCCGCGGCGGGACCGACAGATAATCCTATTCAACATGGACAGGTGCTGCTGTTGATCTTCGTCTCCTTTGTTTCTGTATGCACTTCGACCAGTCCGATGGAAGGGTGCGGGGGGAGGAGGAGGAAGCGGAGGCGGAGGAAAACGATGATGATGAGGAGAAGGACGAAACTGTGGAGGAGGAGGGAGAGGAGGAACAGGAGGAGGAAGGAGGATTATGAGGACCGTCTAGGAACGAATGTTTTAGCCTCCTGTCTTTTGCCTCCTCCAATCCCACCAGCCCTTTGGGCGTGAGTGGTTTAGCGAGCTTTCTCTGTCCTCAACCCCCCAACCCCCCTTCTTCCCCTTCGGGGAGGGGTTTACCCCTCCCCCTACCCCCTCCCCCTGGGCCTGGAGAGGGCGGGCCGAGTGTAGCCACTCGGGGTCTTTTTCGACTCCTGGGAGGGCAAAAAAAACGACGACCCTCACGAGGATTCTGGCCCCCAGGGGGGGGGACCGTTTGGCGCCTCTACTCCTCTTCGAAGCAGAAATCATTGATTTTACAATGGTTTTGGCCCCATTTTGGCCTTCTGAGGGGGCCGCGTGCAGCGTCCTTCCTAGCAAAACCATTGATTTTACGAAGGTTTTGGGCTCATTTTGTCCTTCTCAGGGGGCAGCTCTCATTTGCGCTTCTGAGGAGGTCGCAAAAGGCCCCAAGATGGCCCCAAGAGGCCCCCAGGAGGCTCCCAAGAGGCCTCCAAGAGGCCCCCCGCCCCCAAGCGGCCCCAAGAGGCGCCGAAGAGGCCCCCAAGAGGCCCCCAAGAGGCCCCATGAGGCCCCAAGAGGCCCCCAAGAGGCCCCCAAGAGGCCCCCAAGAGGCCCCCAAGAGGCCCCACGAGGCCCCACGAGGCCCCCAAGAGGCCCCCAAGAGGCCCCACGAGGCTCCAAGAGGCCCCCAAGAGGCCCCACGAGGAGCCCGACCCACTCACACCAGGACGAGGGGCCCGAACGACTCACACCACGAAGAGCCCCAACGACTCACACCACAAGGAGGGGCCCGAACGACTCACACCAGGACGAGGCGCCCGAACGACTCACACCACGAGGAGCCCGAAGGACTCACACCACGACGCGGGCCCCGAACGACTCACACCACGAGGAGCCCGAACGAGTCACACCAGGAGGAGGGGCCCGAACGACTCACACCAGGATGAGGGGCCCGAACAACTCACACCACGAGAAGCCCGAACGACTCACACCAGGACGAAGAGCCCGAACGACTCACACCACGAAGAGCCCGAACGACTCACACCAGGAAGAAGGGCCCGAACGACTCACACCAGGACGAGAAACCCCAAACGACTCAAATCACGAGGAGCGCTTTCTCTCCCTCCTCCTCCGCCTCGTCCTTCTCCCGCTCCCCTCACAAGGAGGATGTACAAGGAGGCGGGAGGAAGGAGGAACAGGGGAGATATGCGGGGCCAAGCGGACACACGCCTGAAAAACACGACTGTCGGCATGCTTCGCGAGAGTTGCTGCTGTGAGATGGGCTGGTGGGGATACGCGAAGCGTAAAGAATTGCTGTCTCTCTGCCTGCACTGATGGAATGGTAAAGTACCATGGGACGGGGATCTGGTCCGCGCGCGCCACATCTGGAATCCTACCTCTGCCTCCCACCTTTTCCCATGGTGCCAATCTTTCGTGCTCGACAAATTTACCAAACATATCCACGTCACTGCAAGATGCAAAACGTAATGTGCACCCGCGTTGAAGCACTTGTCGCGCACCATTTGGTCTGGGACTGAGTCTGCTCACTTTCTCGGGCACCCCTGGCCCTGTTCGTCTCCAGCGTTTCGGCGTGTGGCCGTCTATCATCACCAGGACCTGCCACAACCAACGACACGTAACAGGCTGACGCTGTCACGCCGTTTCCCACTGTGTTAAACATCAGTGTGTGCAACACCCAAGTCGCCAGAAAATGTCAAGTCGGCTCAATGCGATGAGCGCAGACAATTGAGCTGTGTGCGTCAACCGAGAGCCTGGCCTTTTGGCCTTCAGAAGAAGGGAGGAAACAACTGCCCCTTCTTTCGTAATATTGCGGCCTCCCGGCTGATGCATCGGTGGCCATGTCCTGTTCGTTTCCGGCGTTTCGGCGTGTAGCCGTCTATCCTCATCAGGACCTGCCACAACTAACCACACAGGGGCAAGCCGACGCTGTCACGAACGACACCTCCGCTTCCGACTGTGTGACACATCACTGTGTGCAACACCCAAATCGCCAGAATGTCAAGCGGGTTCAGTGCGATGAGCACAGACAGTTGAACTGCATGCGTCAACCGAGCGCCTGGCACTTTGTCCCACAGAGAAGGGAGGAAACAACTGCTCGCCAATCCAGCTGTTGAATCAGACCCTGAATGTTGACTTGTGTTTGCAGCGCGAGGAGGCAAAGGGCAAGGCGAAGGATTCGGGAGGGGGATGCGGACGACCAGCGGGAAGAATAGGAAGGCAAGGAGGACGACTGGGAAGTGTTTGACGACCGACAATGGCGCGAACAACAACGACGGGAACGAAAACGACGCGAGGCCGACGACGACGGCCGCGGCGGGCTTCCGAGCAGGGCGGCTCCCGCTGGCGCGGCGGGGCGCGAGCCGCGGGAGAAGCGGGGGCGAACCAAGACAGAATCGGGGGAGAGAGGTGGTGATGGTACCCACGCGGGGGTGACTGCAGATGAGGGCAGGGGTGATGCAGGCGCCGAGAGCGCCCTCTGGGACGGCCAAGGGCGATCCTGGCAGAACAGCACGCGGAGAAGACCAGGCCGATGACGATCCGAATGGAAAAGCACGTGAGACACATATTTGTTGAACTATTTCAGACGGAGGCGCGGCCCCGCACTAACACAGTAGTTGGGGGGAGAGGGGAGCAGTGCTCATCGATAGTAATTGTCCAGGGGGCGGGGGCGAGGGTGGGAGGGCCAGTGGAGGAGGGAGTGCAGGGGAGAAAGGAGCGAGTGAGGAGCAGGGGTGGTGGGGAGGGAGATGAGCAGGCGGGCATGGGCGGGGGGGGTGGGGGCAAGGGGAACGGGACAGGGGGAAGCCCGCGGCCCGCGGGGGCGCGGGGGGGGGGGGGGGCGGACTTGGAGGGAACCAAGGGGGGAGTACATATGCGCGGTGAGGATGCAAGCCCCTTGGACGCCTAAGTTGAAGCTTTTCTTCCACCCCTCCCCACGAGGACAGGTTTCACGGGGAAGGTTAAGCCACACGCGACGCACAGCTCAGTGCCTCCGAGCTTGCACACGCAAGAGTGCTTCAAAATGCTGAGACGGAGAGACAAAACGTGAAGACGCCCAAAGTAAAGCTTGTTGAACTAAGGACTGCCAGGGATGATCTGGGGAGGCAAGGCTGTAATGATACCCCTGGGAATGTGACTCATCTTTGCCATGCGCGTTGACTGCCTGCGGAGGGGGGGGGGAGAAGGGGCGAATGGGTACAGTCGGACCTGGGACAGAAGAACATCGCTCAAGAACACGACACACTCCGCTGGCCAAAACGCACAAAACAACCAAGGATATCCTCCCCAGGATGCACGAGAACATCCAACAAAGACGAAGACCATTAGGGCACACTCCTCGCACTGACCTCGATCTTATACTTCGGTCCGACTGTATAGGGCATGGGGGGGGGAGAGCCCAGGGCAGAGGGGTCGGCAGAGGGGTCGGGGATTGGCATCTGGGTGCGGCGTGGTGCGGTGCATTGAGGCGGGGGAGGCAGGGGGAGGAATGGAGGGAGGAGACTTTGGCAGGTGGATTGGGGGAAGGGGGAGGGGCTATGGCTAAGTGAGGGGGGCGAAGGGCGGATTGAGACTCACTGGAAGGGGCGGGGATGAAGGATGAGAAGGGGGCGGGTGAGGGAGGAGGGATCGAGAATAATGACGGGGTGGATGGAGAAAGGTGGCAAGAGGGGTGAGGAGTCCCACCGTCCCTGTACGGCGTAAGTGGTTCGGCGGGTTTCCTCTTCCAACCTCCGTCCTTCCCCTTCGGGGAACGGCTTATCACTGTTCCCTACAATCGTGCAAACACCCTCTGCCGAAGGAGACCAGCAGCCAACCAGGACCAATGTGGCCCCACCCCACCATCCCTGTCAAAAAAGTATGTGAAATCCACTTCGGGGCAAACTCTTGGGTCATGATCGGGGGGGGGCGCAAGCCCTTTGTACTTTTTTTGATTGGGACGGCGGGGGTGCCCGCATATTGCCTGCTGCGCGCAGGGCCAGCATCCCCGTGGAAAAACAATACAACATGCACTTCGAGACCAAATCTGGATCATGCACGGACCCCCGCGATCACTGTGCATTGGTTGTTGACTGGGACGGCGGGGGTGCTGGCATACATGCAACATGCAAGCCCACCAGACGTTGTGATTGCCACCCCGCCGCAATTGCGCACTGGTTTTCGACAAGGGTGGTGGAGGCCGAAACGTTTCCCAATGTGTACTGTCACGTGCGCAGGCGCACCAGGTACACTTTGCGCGTGCCCCGAACTTGGCGCACCTGGCGCGGCTGGAGCATGCGGCACACCTGGCGCACTCGGATCACGTGGCGAATCTGGCGCACCAGGCGTGCCTGGCACGCTTGGGCCACGGGGATGCCTGGCACACCTCTCCCAAACGTTGCGTACATGGGGTCTGTTTTGGTTCCCTTTCGCTGTTCATCCAAAGACTACCGCTGACATGCTGAAGCTCGGGTGCTACTTATGTGTTGCGAGGGCGGGTGGTAGTGAGCGAGACGGCTTGCGGGTGTGGAAAATGTTTGGATCACTGTTCCTTAATAATATACACCCCTCACCCCCTGGTCGGCGGCCAACCCGGAACAATGCCGACTCCATGCGGACCCGCCCCCTACCACCCC